ATACACAAATATATACATATATTATTATACTTAAGTGCTACTAAATAATCATTTGTCTGTAATTTTATATTTTGATTCAAGTTTTGACTGACTTGAATGAGCAATTAAGATTTTTTTTCCGCCATTGTACAGTCACAGACCAATTCAAAGGCTAGATGCCCAAAGCTAATTGCATATCTATTGTGACTTAGTCTTACACAACTTTGCATTTTTCACTCTGTTTTCTGGGGTCCAGGTGATTGAATATCTGTCTTCTCTCATTGAGCACCCACTCAGGAAACAGCTCCATGAAGGTAGTGCCTCTGCAACAAGATTTAAATAATGACAACTCCTACTGATTTTCTGCCACGGTAAATAGCTGTAAGTACTTTTTGAAATAATAATGCTGGACTAAGTGTTCATCCTCAGTTAATCAATGTGAAAACATCCTAGAACTTATTCAGGTCTAAAAATCCAGAAGGTATCAATCTTGAAAGTTTTTTTTTTCAGGTAAAATGCAAATTTCCTTCTATTTCTGTCATGGCCGACAGCATTCCTAAGGCTATTACCAACAAGCCATTGTTTATTGACAGATAAAACCAGAGTCTTCGATAAGGGAATCTGGAGCCAGGAGGTTTCAGTTCAAATTCCAGCTCCTCTATTCCAAAGCAAGGTGCCCTTGGGCAAATTACTGAACTCCTTTTTCCTTGATGTCCTTATTCATAAAATGGAGATAATAATAGTACTTACCTCATGTGGTTGTTGTGATGATTGAGTGAGTTCACACAGATGAAGCGCTTAGCATGGTGTCTGGCACTTAGGAAGCACTTAATAAGTGGTAGCTATTATTTTTATTAATAGTGTGAATTTTTCTTGATTTAAAAGGAAATAGCCCTTCAGATTCCTAGGTGAAGCTGGAACTTTGGTCAAGCGGATTTTTGCTGCTGAAAAGGAAGGCTCCTTCTTGCAAATGAGGGCTTATAGGAAGACATTTTTAGGGCATAGAAAAGTGTGGCAGAGACCAAAGTGGGCAAAAGCTGAGTGGCTGAGGACCATGCAGCTGCAGCAAAGAAGGGGTTTCTGTTCCATCAGTAATGGCCTGAACTGATCTCCGACTGCTCCTGAGTCCCTGGCTGCATCAGATGTGCATAGGGTACTATCAAGATCAATGCTTTAGGCAAGCAACTGGCTGTAGGAAGCAACTGGATTAGAAAACATTTGGCAAAGTTCAGGTATTTGCTAATATATTGTCTTACAGAATGTCAAAACCAGGCCAACAAACAAAAGGATTATCCAAAAAGTGACGTTTGTTACCAAGTTGGAGACGAGCCCAGGATCAGGAGAGAAGATGAGCCGGCCAGAGAGGAAATCAGGTCAGAGTGCAGGGAGGCTGAGTCAGGAGACCAGTCCTGTGCAGAAATGAGATTACTGTGGAATTGTATCTCACCAGGCCATGAGATTCAAAAGGCCACATTTGTAAAAACTTACACAAAATTACCCTTAAAAATTCTTTTTATCCTTCATAAAGTATAGTATAGGTGGTTTGATGCATATAACCCTACATAGTATATGTAAAATATATAAAAAATTCAACAGTATCTGAAAATTAGTATAAATACAAAATATAATTTTACAGCCTTTTATAATATTTAAAACAGAATCCTGAGCATGGATACTTGAATTCATGTAAGTTAGATGCACCTAACATTCTTAAAACTGTGGTCAGGCCCTGGGCTAATTTCTATTCTCTGGGCTCCAAGTTCTACCATTTTTTCTTAACCTGCATACTTCTTCATACATATTGAGACCTAAAGACTAACGTTTTTGTTACTGTTTTTGTTTTTGCGGCCCCCTCCACCCCCAAGAAGAAAGGCAGTTGGTAAAAAGTGATATAATATGTGCGTACTTTGTTCTCCAAGGTTTTAAATATTCTAGGCAGTTGAATATCAGTTTTAACAAAGGTGCCTCTAGGAAAGTAAAAAACAGAAATTCTTGCATCCATGTCTATTTCTAAGAGGGAATGGCAGGGTTTCCACATTTTAGGAGATTAGCAGAAACAAAAAAAATCACGTGTGCCATCACCTTAATATAGGTCACCGAAATGACAGAGCATTTCTGCTCAAACCTTCTTGGATGCTTACTTCCTAGTGAGAATAGAGACTGTTTATACAGAAAAAGCCTTAAATATTGAATGAGAAACCAAATGACTGTGGTGTGATTGAAAGGATATCAGGGAATCCTTTGCCCCCATACCTGGTCTATAATAAATATAGAATTTTATTGTGAGTGATTTTTTTGTTTCAAGACTAGCCCTGCTTTGGTGGGGTAACACATTACACTTAACAGCC